CCTCTCTTAGATCATCTCCAGCAGTTATATCCTAATGAAAAGCTCACATTAAAAAACATGTCTATTAAACTTGTGACTTTGTTAACATTGATAACTGGACAACAGTTACAAACAATTTCCCTCATAAAATTGGAAAATATTAAAAAGTTAGATATAGGTTTTCATATTTATATTACAGATAGAATAAAAACCAGCGGAATAAATAAATTCCAACCTTGTTTGCAGGTCCCTTTTTTCCTTGAAAACCCAGCATTGTGTGTAGCAAAATTATTATAATGTTATATAGAAAAAACTAAGATACTTCGTAATCAAATAAATGAACTTTTCATTACCTCTCGGTCAAGTTATAAACCAGCTTCTAAACAAACGCTTTCTAGATGGATTAAGACAGGCTTAGAGTTGGCGGGAATTTATCCTAAATTCAAACCCCATTCTACCCGGCATGCCTCAACTTCCAAAGCCTTTAGCAATGGAGTATCAGTTGATTTGATTTGTCAAACAGCAGGATGGACTCAAAGCTCGACTTTTGCAAAATGGTACAACAAACCAGTAGTAGACACAACGAAATTCGCAAATGTGAACCTACAATCATGAACTAATACTTAGATTTTTCCTAATGGTTTTATACTTATTTCTTGTTCATATTTTCGTATTGGTTTGTTAATCTTAATAAATATTCGCAAGTTACTACTTTAAATATCTACCTAGTTTTCAATTAAGTGATATCTGAAGGACTGGAGGGAAATAAAATTTAACGATCAAACGAACTTACCTGTAGTGAAGTTCGATCGTAATTTTATGAACCTCCAGTCCGAAGATATCACTTCCCAGCCCTCCCAAGGGAAAATAACAATATTTCCAGCAATTGTAACCCCAATAACTTGCGAAAAGGGATAATTTGAAGAAATGAATCTGTAACCGACGACGCACGGCAAGGTGAAGGACGGGGGAACGTGTTCTGTGATACTTTAAATATTGTGGTCTGTGAGCAGCGCAGAGGCGTACTACCTAGTTTTCAATTATGTGATATCTTCGGACTGGAGGTTCATAAAATTACGATCGAACTTCACTACAGGTAAGTTCGTCTGATCGTTAAATTATACAAGAAAAACATTTCCATAAGAAAATCTAAGAGAACATTGTATTAACACGTACACTTCAAAAAAAAAGAGAAAGTATTGTAGCGCCTCAGTTGCACTACATACGTTAAAATGTCACACACTTAATACTTTTTAGCTAACCCTTCAATTTGTGGCAGTCCTAGTAAGAAAAAGGATAAACTCATCTCCTAAGCAACTTCGGTTGCTAAGAATTATTATTGATCATCATGATATTATGACTTTTATATTTTATATACAAGACTTGTCTTTTGGTTCTTCGAACTAAAATATACCTTATACGTCTTAGCAAAACCATTTACTTATGATGGGATGAATAATTTTAAAAATCCCACAATGATGTCGACTGCAAAGAGGACTATTATTTCTTCATGTCCTTGGCGGAGTCTGTGAAAAAAAAGAAACTATTGCTAAATGCAAAAATGCGACTAGTTTTTAGATAATAAAACAATATTTATTGGGGATAATCCCAAAGGAAGTTTTGCCCGACTTGTTTTTATTTTAGTAGTTTTAATATATTCATTTATTTTTTATTGTAGTTTTAAGTTTTTTTTTATTATTTTTAATGTAGTACTTAGTTTATTTTTTCTGTAAATACATTTTTATTAAATATTACATAATTAATATACAATATCTTAAGAAACTATTATTTCTGTATTCACAAATTTCACAGTAAAATTCAACTAACAGATGAAATACAAAATTGTATCACTGCAACAAAATATTATTAAAAATACCTCAAATATTACGATTTCAAAAAAACCCAGAATAAAAATAATGAATATATCTGTAAAACAAAATATATTTTTTTAGATACAAATACCATTAAACAAATACAGGAATATCTTTGAACAGTTATTGTAGAATACAGACGATGGCGCGTAAAGTAGAAATCATATTATAGAATGTCTCGAGAGACATTTACAATACTTTTGAGCAAAGTTGGACCTTCTATTAAGAAATTGGATACCAAATTTGGGGAAGCTATAACGCCAAAGGAAAAATTAATCATTACATTGAGGTAAGTTAATCAAGTTTTATTTTTATGTTTATGTTTTTATGTTTAGTTTGCAAAAAGTCATAATCATTTGAACTTGGAGATGCTAAGGGTGTGCTTATGTGACTTGAAGAGTACATAGATCGTGGTTGAGAGTTGTTTGACAGTACTGAATGCGGGCGAAATGTGCTGCTGCTTGAAGTATAATGCATATCTTGCGTATTTGTGGGGAAAATATTATTTGTTGGTGATCTGTAAAGTATTTCACCGATATTTTGTATAGTTTTCCATTTGAACTCATGTTTTTGGGCGTTTGTCATTTGACGCAGATGAGGCGAAAGACTTTTAAGAAATAGCAAGTCAGTATCTTCTGTTGTTTCCGATTGGAATCGTTTTTTAGAAGTAAAGTAATCAACGATACATTTCTCCAGTGGATCACCTTCCTTGCGTTTTGTAGTAGAAACCTTATTGCGAGTTTTGAGGGCTACCAAGGATTCATTTGTAGCGGATTCTTCAACTACATCATTATTTTCAAAATTTTTATGCTGCAGTTCGAATTCAGACGGCTCTGTTTCGGGAACTTCTTCGTAAATCGAAGAAGATGTTTCTTCATTTGTGTTTATAGGAGATGAAATACTACCTTTTTGTTATCTAGATTTAATAAACGGTGTGAGAATAGCCAAATAGTCTGCTAAATAATATTTTTTCTTTGCCTGTGCTGATGCTCCACTTAGTGGTTTTTATCTCAAATATCGTGTATAAGCAGACCTTAAATTTTTCCATTTTTCCTTACATGCAGCACCCGAAAATAAACGTTTGTTTTAGATACTTGGCAACGGAAATGAGTTTCAAGCAGTTATCTTTCCAATTTATTAGAGGAGACTCTACAATTGGAATTCGAAATGTATGATTAAAAGTGGCTGCTGCAGTTGCAGATAAAGTTCCTTCAATAACATAGGCTCAAGTAATAAATAAATGGAGAGCCCTTAAAAGAAAGTATAAAAGCATACTACTTAATAATAATAAATTTGGACAAAGAAGGAGAAATTGGCAGTACTTTACAGTGGTGCATAATTTTTTATTTAATAAACTTTATAACGTGTTAAAATATAAATATGCGTAGTTGTACTCTTAAGTTAATTGGTCTTGATATGTATAAAATGAACAATGTGGTTATTTTTGTTTTCCAGGCTGCTCTACCTGCTTCAGCAGGAGTACTTTTGAAGAAAGCATCAAAAGAAGTTTTAAAAAATAAATCCTATAAACTTTCTCGAGAAAAATCTGTTCCAGAAATAAGATCTTTTGCTTTGACATTAAGTTTTTATTCAATGAAATCTTATAATTATGTTCGGGAAAAATTCAATAACACTTTATCACATCCCGCTACATCCAAATGGTAAGGTAACTGTACATAAATCAGACACCGGCCCAAAATTCGACATATTTATATAAATCGTTACAAAATAAGAAACCCGTCTATGTAAGATTAATTAAATCTAAAGATATCATTGGTCCAAACCCTTGGCGGGTATTTTTAAAAATCACCAGCCAATAGATATTAATATTGCTATACAAGGAGAAAACTCTAACAATATTACTGCTACTCGAACCATTTGTATCAATAATGAAAATATACTTCCAGAAATTATTGCGTCTACCTCTCAAAGTCTTAATGCTCTAATTCTAATAAATGATTGAGTCTACCTCTCAAAATCCTAATGAGGTTAAGGAAAATATACCTCCAGAAATAATTGAGTCTACCTCTCAAAATCTAAATGAAACTATTCCTCCAAGTAGAACTGAGGATAATAACGGAAGTGAGACAACAAAATTAATTCCTGTTAACATTCCAACTCCTTTTAAGAAAGCGTTGTTTTGGTCTGACGAAAGTTCAGTTAGCATAGGAAAGAAGAGCAAAAAAAAATAACCGTTTAGTCCACCACTACCACGAAATTCTCGAAGTAGTCCGACGTGGTTTGACGTTTACCCCCTCTCTACCTACCAAAAGCCTTTCCAACCTCTGCCCCTGCTATTTGTAGAATGGCGTCAATCCCTTCTAGAACTTCAAATGAAGAAGGGTTACATGCAGGAACAAAAATTAGAAATAGGCATATCAAATTTAAAAATGAAATCCAGAAAGTTAAGATTGCTGCACAGACCTTCAGCAATAGGGTAGCAGATGCCCTCAACTTTCTAGAGAATGATTTAAATCTAAATGATTTTAAAGGTTCCTCCTCTACAGTTGAATTTTGTAGAATTGCAAATAATTTGTTTGATATTTTCAATGTGCGAAGAACCTATTCAAATCAAAAATATGGAAAATATTTGTCAACACAATCTGGAAATACAATGTTTGGTTATTTGGATATATGTAAAAATTATATTCTTGGCCTTAAATTAAATGCATACCCATTTATTATATTCACAACGCAAAACAGGCTTCTTAGGGTTTTTAATTTGCAATGAGAGTTTGAAATGTTTTTATACAAAATATATATTGATGTTCCAGGAACATCCTTAAATTATTTACTGACATACAAACTATCTTAAGATCACATTGAGGTGATATTTAGTGCAGTGCGAAGTTTTGGGGGAACAAATAACAATCCAAAACCAAGGCAATTTGAAGCCATATATAAGCGACTACTGAGTCACACTGAAATTAAACGCAGTAGATTTGGAAATGCTATACAAGTTGATTATCTCGAGTTCAGGTGATCTATAGATCAAAACTGATCCTCGATCTTACTGAACTCCTTTGTTAGTTGATCTATGGTCAAGTCAAAATAGTTCAAAAGTAATAGAAGCTGTCAATTTTATAACCTCAAAATTGCGCATCGTGGTTAGTTTGATATTTGTGAGTTTGTTAAAAAAAATTGAAATAGAAAAAATTAAAGAGATCACATAATTTTACTGCTTGTGAGGTAGCTTTATTAATAGCCCATGTAAAGGAGCGGACAAGTGAAATTGAATGCCGTAAATCCGACACGGATACTAATAAAATAAAAAACGAGGCATGGGCACATGTATGCCAAAAATTTAATGCTCACTCAAAACAGAGCATCTACAGGGACGTAGATGTTCTGAAAAATAAATATAATAATGAGAAAAAGAAAGCAAAAAAGAAGTATGCTGATGAAAAGAGGCATTTGTATGGTACGGGAGGAGGTCCACCTGAAATAATTCAGGAATCTACCATAGATAAAGATATTGCCGAGATAATAGGCACCCAAATGACAGGCTTTCCCTCAAAATACGATGACGATTTTTTGGGTAAGTAATTTTTTCTATTAAGTGGGCATGATTGTTGAACTCTCCGTGATCAGATTTTGTTTTATAAATTTGTTATACATTTTTAGATGACAACTTTGCTGCTGGTCCCTCAAAGAAACCAAATGATTTAAGTAATAAGGAAAATATAGAGTATATTACTGTCGAAGCCGAGGAGGAACTCGAAGAAGAAGAAGAGGTCTGCAAATCCACTAGTGAATTATCCAATGGTAAGGATAAACGCTGGATTAAATGCACACCATCAATGTTGAAAAAACCAATGCCAATGCCACTTAAAGTTAGCCAAACACCAAATAGTAAGTATTCACAGGCCATACATAAAACTACTGTTTCTAGTTTAACTTTAAATGTCTACTTTATCAAATACAGGGTGAGTCGGGAGGAGCGCACCAAACTCTATGAGTATATTATACGCGTGAAAATAATATAATAAAACTCATATGTTCTCATCCGATTTTCGAAAAGTTCCGTTCTGCCAACCTTACCTTAAAATTAAGAAAATCAAATTTTGCTCCGAAACATATTTCCTTTTTAGGCCATGTTATTAGTAAGGAAGGAATTCAAATGGATCCTAATCGTGTTAATGCAATTCAGGATTTTCCGCGGCCGCGAAATATTAAAGAGTTAAGAGGGTTTTTGGGTTTAACGAGTTATTCTAGGCGATTTGGTAAAAGACTAGGATCTTAGTATACCATTACTATAGTTGTTAAAAAAGTATTCTAAATGGGAATGGACGGATATTCATGAAAGTGCGTTTGAAGAAATAAAGAAAGTTTTTCTATCAGTAAGTGTGGTAGCTCACTCAGACTATACAAAGCCCTTCTATATTGAATGCGATAGTTCGAATTTTACTGTCGGTGCATGTCTTTATCAACTTTCTGACGAAAATGAAAGAAACATCACTGCGTTTACGAGTCGGGCATTGCATGGCGCAGAACTACGATATACAGTGAGCGAGAAAGAATTATTAGCGCTAGTTCATGCACCCAAATCGTGGCGAACATTTATTCTGGGGTATCCTGTTATTGTTTTAACGGACCACAAATCCATTACATTTTTGCTTTCGACCAAAATGAAAAGATGGGTGTTATTTATTCAAGAATACGATATTACCGTACAGTATTTATCGGGTCCAAAAAATATAATGGCTGATATGCTTTTGCGAAATCCCGTTGAGTTGTCGGAAAAATATCAACCTGATCGGGGTGCTAGGGTAGAAGTTAGCTAACAGATGAATTTAAGTTAGTAAAGGAGAATTTTAAGAAGTTATAGGGGGATCAGTTAGCCGAAAATTGGTCTTCTTCTAAATTAGATATAATTAAGGGAACAGTTAATGTACCTCCTTCTAAACGACGACAAATTTTAAAATGGTATTCGTGTCATCAGGAATTGCTATTTAAGCGGGGCGATGAAGTAAATGGGGGTTTTAAGCTTTGTGTACCGTCATCACAGGTTCAAGATCTCATTTTACAACAACATGCCGACATAGGTCATTTCGGCGCTAACAAAACTTTTCAGTACATGTCAAATTATTTTTATTGGCCGAAAATGCGCCGACAAATTCGGAAGATCATCACATGTTGTAACATTTGTCAAAAACAAAGGTAGGACCGATTTCTCATGGGCCGATGAATCCTGTCATTGTTGACAAGCAAGGTACGTTAGTGTGTGTCGATGTAATGGGTCCACTCCCACCTTCACGTGGAGGTGTTACTCAACTTTTGGTTTTTACCGATTCATTTTCCAAATATTGTAAATTATACGCTCTCAAACGTGCAACCGCAAGAGCCATATTAAATAGGTTTACTAATGATTATTTTGTAACCATTCACAAGCCTAAGGCGGTGTTGTCGGACAACGGTTCGCAATTCACTTCGCATGAGTGGGAAACAGTTTTAACGAAAGAAGGGGTTACCATTAAACATACCAGTGTCTATTTTCCGCAAGGAAACGCGACGAAAAGGGTAAATCGGGAAATAGGAAGACTATTGAGGATGTTTTGTTTCGAGAAACACACAAATTGGGCTACGGTATTACCTGAAATAGAAACATGTATAAACAATGTGGTGTACGAGTCTACTGGTTATTGTCCAAATTATTTACAATTCGGACGTATAGAACCGAACAATATAAAAAGTATTATTAATTTTCCATCCTCATTTCCAACAGCGGCACCGAATCTGGAACAAGTTTGGTAGTAAGCGTCTTCCAAGTTAAAACATCGTGCAACTAAACGAAAATCTTACCATGATATAAAGGTCAAGCCTGTGATTCTTAAACCTGGTGATTCAATACTGGTTAGAAATCATTCGTTGACATCCGCTGTGGATGGTACCATAAAAAAATTATTTTTATTATTTGAAGGTCCATATTATGTATCAAAGGTAATAGGACCTAATGCGTATGAAATTGTGTTCGAGAACGGTAGCTTTCACAGTAATCAAAATATTATTAATTTACGAATGTACCGTTCTTTGCCTATGTAGTTAAGCTTCTTATGGTAATGAGTTTGTTTTTATTTTGTATTTAATACTTTCAATTCCTTTATTTTTATTTGTTGTAATTATAGTATTACATAAGGGGGGAAGTGAAGTGCGCAGAACTAAGACTTTAGCGAAGACGTGGCAACAACGCCAACAGCTACCTGTCTTTTGGTCAGGTGTGATGTGTCGCGGGGGAAAGGGAAGAACGGTGTGACGAGACGGGGGGAGACAGCATAGAAAAACTAAAAGAGAAGGTTTGAATAATAGGCGGGAATTGTTTCCTTGTTTGTAGTTTATCATATCGCGCTTCACGCGCTGCGAGCACTAAATAAAAGCCGTTTTTACAACCATATAATAATTAAAAAATTAATAAATTTTAAAGAAATCAATAATTTTACTAATGCAATCCTTTAAATATCACTTTAATACAATATATGATCAAATACAGGGATAATTGTTATAAATTTATAAAGTTAATGCTACATTTGAATATTATGAGGTGGTGTAAATCTGGCTTTGCTAATAAATTAGGTTATGTTACACTAAAACATGACAATCGCGGAAAATGTAGGTGAGTAAAATTTAATTAATCTTATTTTTAATTTAGTTTTAGTTAGATTTAAGTATATAGGTGTAAAAATATACTGAGGTCCTTAACGATGTCATTAACTTATAATAAATTTACAGCATCATATGCTGCTCCAAATTGCAGAAACAAATATTATTTACATACACTTAATAAGAAATTTTTTACTTTTCCGTCCAGTATTACCCTTAGAGAGAAATGGTTTGATATTTTAAATATTCCCTACACATCTAAAAAAAAAACTATTGTGCGAGGATCATTTTGACCAGAATGCCTTTACCAGCACTTTGCGTACTAAGCTCATTAAATTTGCCTTGCCTTTAGCGCCTTTAGAGGAGAATATTACTACTAATAATAATATTACATTAGTTGAAAATTTTTCAGAGCTGCCTTCATCAAATTCGCTTGCAAAAATAAATGTAATTGGTAATGTTTTGATTAAACCTGTTTCGAATATAACTTCAGCTAAAAGAAAGCTAGAATTTTTTAATGATAGAATTGAATGTGTTGAGGAACCTTTAATAAAGAAACCACGTGTAAGAACTGGTATTTTAAATCAAATTAATGCAACTAGAATTGGAAATTTAACTCCTAGAAAGAGAAAATTTTATTATATTAATCGAGAGCAGCAAAACAAAATTTCAAGATTAAAAAATAGTTTATTAAAATCTAAAAATAAAATTAAGACTGCTTTAAAATTATCAGAAACAAATTTATTTAAAAATTTTAGTGGTAACTTAGATCCAGCCGGGATGAAATTTTTAGAAAGTAGTCACTAACTCTAAGAAAGTTAAACGTACATGGACAACTCAAGATAAAGTATTTTCATTAGCTTTATATAAGAGATGCCCTCGTGCGTATAATTTTTTAAGACAGTGTATTGCTTTACCTAGTAAAACAACCATTCACTCTTAAAATCTGTTCCATTTGATACCGGAATTAATGTAGAGATTTTTAATCGTCTCAAGGAAAGGGTTGCCAAAATGAATCAAATTGACCGTAACTGTGTTTTACTATTTGATGAGATTAAACAGTTTACTTTAGATGTAGTAAATGATAAAGTAGTTGGTTATTTAGATCTAGTAAAAACCTTAGGTAGAACTCTAGAGTCTGCTGATCATGCCCTGGTGTTTGTAATTAAGGGCCTTAGAAAGGCTTGGAAGCAGCCAGTGGCTTATTACTTTACCAAAGCTGCAATAAAAACTCTAGATTTGAAAGTCATTATTGTAGAAATAATAACAGCATTGCAAAATATAGGTTTAAATGTTTTGGCTACTGTGTGTGATCTGGGGGCACAAATCGAGCAGCTCTAAATCAGCTGAGAAGTGATAGGCAAATTACAAGACCTGATCCTTATTTTTATGTTAATGGGAAAAGGGTAATAACATTATTCGATCCCCCACATCTTTTAAAATGCACAAGAAATGCTTTTTTTAAATATGAAATTCTTTTTGATTCAAATAAGCGGCTCAATATGTTAAACAAGCTTTCAAAATTGACCAGACCAAACAATTTCAGGCTTTGTATAGTATTAGGGAATCTTATTTTGACATTAGTAAAAATAGTAAATTAAAAATGAAAGTTTCAGTTGCGGCTAAAGTTATGAGTCACACAATGGCTGTTTCAATTCAAAGCATGATAGACGCAAACGTACTACCAGCAGATGCCATTCATACTTCTGCATTTATTGAAGACATCGATCAACTATTTGACAATCTTAATGGTAAAAAACCAACTTGTGATCGAGGCAAGGCTTTAAGGTGTTGTGCTTCTAAGAAATCAAGACATTTAAATTTTTGGAACAGTATGTTACCAAAAATAAAGTCTTGGCAGTTCTTAGAAGACAATAAAAATCCTAAAGAGTCAATGCCCTTTAAAACAGGTTGGTTAATTACCCTTAAGGGTCTCAAATTGTTAACCAACGAGTGCTGGAAGTTGGGTTTTACACATTTGAGAACCCGTTCTTTAAATCAAGATCCAGTAGAGAACATGTTTGGAGCAATTCGGCAGTGTGGTGCAGCAAACACAAATCCGAATTGCTATCAATTCACAACAGCTTTGAAAACATCTGCTTTAAATAGTTTAATTACACCTAAAAATTACAGTACCAATTGTGAAGCAGATGATAGTAGTTTGTTAAACAATTTAAATTTATTTTTAACTTTTAGTGATGAACCGCAACCACTACTGTCTGGCCAAGAAAATGAATTGGCTAGCTTTAAAATTAAACAATTCAATGTCAATTCACTTCATAATACTGACTTTGATATTCAGGCTATCACTTATGTAGCTGGATTTGTAGTCAAAAAATGAAAGGAATTGATTGCGAAGTGTGTTCAGGCAATTTAAGAACAGACATTGTAGAACCTCATCATAGTTTTACACATTTAAAGGAATATGATGAAAAAAGACGTTTGATTTATGCGCAAAAAGCAATTGTTCAATTTTTGGGTACTATTCATGATTGTATTTATCAAATTCTACTCAAATATGGACATATAGAACGCATTGTTCAAAAACTAATTTTATATTTACACGAACATGTTAATTTTGCATGGTTCACTTGCCAAGAGCATAAATCAGATGTTTTTTTAAAATTATTGAAAATATGTGTACCTTTCATTATAAGAAAATATTATAAGGATATTTCTAAGAATTTAAAAAAGTAATATCTCTGTTTATTTTTAATTTTAAGATACACACTGCGCCTTTATTTCTGTTTTGTTTTAGTTATTCCTGAGTATAGAGATTTTTGGAATGGATATTGCAACTACAATGAACTGAAATAGATGGGTAAAGGGATAGTAAAGTGGTTCAGTGCCAGAGTTGCCTAACCAACAAAATTTCAAAACAACTGGTCTTTGTAAATTGTTTTAAAATCATTTCTATACATGCCAAAGTTACCTATTCCTTAAAATTATGTAGTTCATGACAAAATTAAATACTTATTTGACAAGTGACTATTTTTAAATTTTTCTCAAACTTTGATCTCAACTTACTCAATTAATTATTTTTTAGCAACTCTGGCACTGAACACGCAATAGAGCTTAAGAATATTAAAAAATTTTTCATGTAGTAAACTCAATTTATTTTTAATGTGTACTTTTTGTGATAATGTGTAATTTTGTGATATTAGGTAATTTTATAGATATAAAATAATAATAATATTAATAACAATAATAATCGTGATTAGTATAAACGTATATTTTTAAATTAACTTCAATCCCTTGAACAATTTTCAATTTAAAAATGCAATTAAAAAGTAGATGTTACAACACTGTTGCTAATTATATGTAAGAAAAAACTACTTAAATGTTTATGTCTTGCTATTGTTTGTCTTTTTTTATTATTTTGTAATTTTAGCTAACCTTATCCCTATTGTTTAAAGTAATTTTTAATTGTAAATTTTAGACTGAGTAAACCAGACTTGTCTTATACTTTTTTATAATGCTTAACAGGACGAATAAACATTATTAATATTATTATTACAATAAGTAAATTTAAGTTTTTCAGTGTGATATTAAGGCGCATTTACATGGTTCACTTTGGATGATCACTTTGGATGAATCATCCAAAGTGAAATAGAAATGAATCGTGTAAACTAGTATTCATCGAAAGTGATCATCCAGAGTGAACATTGATTGAAGTTGAATGGGGTTCTACTTTCGTTCACTTTCGGTGATTCACCGCGGATGAATCATTAAAAGTGAACCGTGTAAACATCCACTTCACTTGCAGTGCGTAGTGAAGAACTGATAAACAAGCACGTGTTCGTCGTTGTTTACGGATAGAGGTTCACGGTGTTTTATTTCTATTTTTTAAAAATGGTTATCAAGTGGAAAGATGATCATACTCCGTTAATTTTGAATTTAATGAAAGAGCGACAGTGTTTATGGAATACGAAAGCAGAAGAGTATAAAAACAAAACTTGCCGAGACAAAGCTTTAAAGGAAATCGTAGCAGAGCTAAATATTGAGGAGGTAACAGTTGAAGATGTAAAATTAAAGATAAAAACAATCCGTACAAGATACTCATCCGAGCTGGCTAAAGTGAATCAGTCAACAAAGAGTGGAGCAGGGCCAGATGATCTTTATGTCCCAAAACTTTTTTGGTATAAACTAGCAGATTCCTTTCTAAATGCAGTATGTGTACCAAGGAGTAGCACAGCAACTACAGTAAGTATGACATTTTGTGTACTTAATTTTTGCTTAATATGTTTTTTATTTTAAATCAATTTTGTTCAGCGTACCCACAACTATACTAATAACGTATTATACCGTGCGCTGGCTGGCGAGACAGTTTTACAAATTTTTACATTATCCAATATCAAAATGCATATAAGTCATGTAAAAATATTTTTATTGAATTCGTTTTTATTTAGCAAGTTGTACAATCATAAAAAAATATTTAAATCATTTTCCATTGCCATGGGACAATGTCTGTGAAATAAAACCGTTTTGCGTAATCATCCCGCAAGCTTGCAGCCGTTTTCTTGTAGTTGTTACTTGACACAAGTTTAATATCTCCAAGACCTTGATGTGTGACGTGCCGCCAAGCTCCAGGTAAAATTTTGCCTTGCTCCCATAATTCTGTATCAACCAATCCTTCACTAACGTATGGGTTATTGCGGGTAGAAGTTTTTCTGAGCCAGTTATGAAGAGCACATGTTGTTTTCACTAATAGCTCAGTTGTTTCTACTTTAAGTGGGATGGGCTTTTCAAATATTCGAAAACGCGATACAAGTATTCCAAACGCATTTTCTGCCACGCGACGCGCTCTTGATAGCCGGTAATTAAATATCTTTTCTTGATCAGATAACGTGTTTTTGCTGTAAGGTTTTAAGAGAGAGGTTCTAAGCGGGAAAGCGTCATCCCCCACAAAGACACCATGATCAGGTATATTTAGCCAATTATTCTCCAAAGCCTCATTGAATGTGCATTTGGAAAATACTAATGCATCATTTGCTCTGCCATTTGTACCGACATCAATATATATAAAGTTGTAGTTAGCATCCACAATTGCAAAAAGAATGGTGCTAAAGGTTTTTTTATAATTATAAAAATAGGAACCGGTTTTCTTAGGACATCTAATCACAACATGTTTGCCATCCATAGCTCCGCAGCAGTTAGGAAAATTCCAGAACGTGTAGTAATCCTTCATTACCGTTTCCCACTCCGCAGTTGTGCTGGGAACCTGAAACAACAAAACATATAATTGCATCCACTGAAATATACACGTCATTTTTCTTTTAATAGCATTTTAACAAAATTAGGTTCATAATACAACTTTCATTATTTTTATTACAATGCTTAACCCTATTATTTTTAATACAAAGAGGAATATCTATCTTTTTTTAGATCCCAAAACGTAAAAAAACGCCAACTCTGCATACGCAAGGCGTTGATGATACTAATTCAGAGGAATGTATAATAGAAGTTGAGGATACCACATCTGCGGTCGAATCTGTAAATGAAAATATACGTGAAGTATCTGTAAATGAGAATGTACGTGAAGTATCTGCAAAGGAGAATGTGCGTCAAGCATCTGCAAATGAGAATGTATGTAAAAGAGTCAGCGCACAGGGAGACTGGAAAACTCCACGTTCAAAAAAGAGCCGCTTTTCTGAGATTTCGGATGTAGAAAGGGCAATTGATAAATTATCTTCAATTTCTGCAAATAATTCAGCCACAGAGAGTGACAATGAATTTGATCACTTTTGCAAAAGTCTGGCAGCTCAACTTAACCGAATGCCTTTGGATCGCGCTTTACTTTGTCAGGAAAAACTGCTAAAAGTAATGACTGAAGAGCGAATGTATTTATTCAGATTGGAAAAATCTAGGCAGAATGTTTCTCAATCTACGCCACAGTGGACCTACTCCCCCTCGCCGGATGATGGCATGTCAAACTCGATAACATCCTATGAAATAAATTCCTATTCTGAGACTTCCACTCCCACGGCTTCACCATTTACTCACTTGACACATACTACTGACCTGTCGAATTCTGTACCAAATGCCACTCAAGAAGAAACATATGCAGAACAGCCAGCCGGGGATATAATATCCCAAGCCTTGTCTACTATTGGTTATCGGTAAATAAAATGTATTGTTTCATTATAATTTTTTCAATAAAATAAATGTGTGTTATAACAATGATGATGTACCTTGTTATTTTAATGTATATAGGTAACTATACTTACTTTTATATATTCTTCAAGAACCTTGTAAATGGCAGCCAATACTTCTGGTAAAAACCGAGAAATAGAACATTTTGGTATACGGTATAATGCTTCTAGTGTTGCAAAGCAATCTCCTGATGCAACATATCTCAGTACGATTTGCAGTTTTAGCCTGGGAGGAAGACTTTCTCTCATATTTGTGTTTTGCTTCCTAATTAGTGGCGTCACTTTCTCAAGGAGTTGTTCAAATTGCACTGTAGACATTCTTAAATGGTTTTTGAACATTGCTTGATCTTCTGCAATCCATTCTTCCAACAAACAAGTTGATGCCCCCATTATATTTCGTCGATTTACCCACGGCCTGATCCACCAACGCCTATTTCTTCTACGTTTTATTTTTTCCAGTTTGCTCGAAAGGTATTCACTAATTACCGCAATTCCTACACGTACAATTAGATTATTCGGTGCCATTTTGGAATGAACTGAATAATTCAATTTTGTTGATCAATGTAAACCTCTTTTTTTAAAATGGTCAAATTCACTCTGGATGATTCATCCAAAGTGATCATCCAAAGTGAACCATGTAAATGCGCCTTTAGGTATTATATAAAACTTTCAAAGTTATAGATATTAGTTCTAAGTTTTAAATTGTTTAAAAATATCTTTTTACTCTTCTGTGATACTAGGTATTAACAATATTTTTAACAGGGTTCGTACTGATTGAATTAGGATATAGTTTTTTAGAGTGTTAGATTAAGTTTTGTTGTTGTTTGTTGTTTAAATAAAAAAGAGGCGTTGGACGGCTATGGGGATGGAGGAGGCTGAAAAAACAATTTACTTGACTAAGCCGATCATTAAAATTTAGTTGACAGAGATTTAGACTGAATAATTTGAATTTTTTGTAAATCAGGCATCACAATATTTAAATTTTACATATAAAATACATTATACCTAGTTAGCAAATACCAAAAACAAAAATTAAATTGTTCAGGGAAAATTGATTTACTTAGTCAAGTAAATTAATACCTACATTTCAGTATTAGCCCTGTTTTTTAAGTTAAAAACAGATAATATAGGTATTATGATTTGATGTTAAATTTTAAATTGTTTCAAATTTAAATGTAGATGTTACATTTTTATATCAAATTAAACTATTATTTTATATGTATTCACTGAAAAATTACCTATCTGTTGTATATTAATAAGTTATTATTATTATTAGAGATATTTAAAACAATTGTGGTATTTATAGGTATGACTATTTTGTGTTGTTTTTAATTATTTGAAAATGTTCGTTGTATTTTTTGAAAATTGTATCCACTTTATTGTTAATAAAATAATTGTCACATTGTTATTCTACATTTTTATTCTGCATTAATTTTGTGTGTTTATTGTGAATATTATGATGTTTAATATAATGTAATGACATAGTTACCTATTCTAAATAAAATAAATTTATTACAAATGTTTTTATTTTTCATTTAAAACAAGTGACGTTTTCCGTTTTTCAGCATTTACTTACAATAAAAATTCATTTTACTTATTGATTGTTTCAATTATTGTATGTAAAAGCTGTAAAAGAGGAAAATGTTACTTGAAATTACTTCAAATTTAATAAATTTTGAACCCCGCCATTTTTTAAATCGCTTTAATTAGTAGTTTTCTACTTTACCGACTGTACCGAATTATAGTTCATCATAACGCGCTCAGCGCGCTACTGTCGAGGACAAATAAACTATTTACAGGGGAAACGGCTACCGTGGGAGACAGGCAGACTTTAGCCCGCGTAATATGATAAGTAATTTTAAGTTTGTTGTTAAGTAAAACAATTTATAACAACGACTCGAGTTGTGGTTGATTTCCAACCCAACTTGTCGTTGCTCTTTATTATTTGAAGTTGTGGAACGTTGAAATAAAGAATATTTCCAATATACCAGTAACCCCATTATTTATCCTGAGGAATTTGCTCATTACACTTTATCAAGAAATATTACCAATATAAGGTAAATTTTTTTCATTCTCAAATTTGACGTCCTATTTTTGGGACGTTGGCATAAAGTGATTTTATAACTACACATAACTTGTTATTTTAGAAATGGGTTCAATAACATTTCTAACTAACGCCGAACTTACTGCTATACTGGAAAGCCAATAAAATTTGGTGCTTATGTAGTTTAAATGGATATCTTTTTAATTTTGATCCTTACAGGTAAATCATACAATCCAAATGAAGATACGCTAGGCTCCAGAGTAGTGAAAAATGTAATAAAGGTAATTCCAGTATATACTATGGAACATCACGAAATATTCTTTGATAACTTTTTTACTGGGCATGAACTTCTAAAGGATCTAAAAAGCATAAAATTGAAAGCAAGTGGAACTATACGTGAAAACCGAATAAAGCAATGTCCCCTTATATCGTGCAAGGAAATGAAAAAGAAAAAAGAAAGAGGATATTTCGAGAAACAATTTGACAAAGTTAATGAAATATTTGTGGTTCGTTGGAATGACAACAAACCTGTGACCATGGCTTCCAGTTATAGCGATGTTTTACCACTGGGAAACGCAAAGCTGTTTTCAAGAAAATTTGGTCAAGAAAATGGTGGTGGCCAT